TTGTACAATTTTTTTTTTACTTGCTTTGTCTCTTTTATTTTTAATCGCTTCAAGACTTACATCAATGTAGTGCTGAAATTCGTCAAATATTCGCTTCAAGTCTCTTCTGTTCGCGTGCAACATTGGTAGAAATTCCTCCAAATGGAATTCATAGATCTGACCAATATTACCAAGCAGCACATATTTTTTGCCACGCAATCCAATGGGCAGGTCTTTCCGTGCAAATATATTTCCATAATTCTCCAAACCAATGCGCAAATTCTCCACATAAGTCTCCTCTGTTTTTATAAGTTCATCCAGAATGGGTTTGATATGCTGCGAGCTCTTATCGCGCAATACAGCCTCAGCTTCCTCTTCATGTTCATCTCTATGTAGAAAAAATAGATATTTATTAATGATAAGTAAGTAAGTGGCAAGTTCTGAATTAAGCTTAACTTATTTACTCGGCACTTGATATTCTTAGTAAGAAAATTTGTATATGAAAGTATTGGTTGAATTGTATTAATGTTTTTATAAGCTTTTATTTAACTTGGTCATCCCGCGCCAATCGCGGAAATTTCCAATCGATTTTAAACTGACTTCCGACAAGTTAGAGACTTGAAATTTTCAGCATAGTTCCAATCACGATGACAATGCAATTTAAAATATAATTGAATTCCCCATATGGTCCAGGGGTCTTGATTCAAAGGCGGTCAAAAAATAGTAAGATTTATGGCTAACAGAGCGTAATTTGCCAAAGAACGTAAAACCACTATAAAATTGTTAAAGCTGTCGGCGATAGTGTAGCAAAGCTACTTGTGGCAAATTCTGATATCAACCTAGTCTAGATATGAACCTCGTTGTAAGAATTAGAAGACTCCAGATGTCGCCCCGACAGAAGAAGTTAAATATTGCGCCTAAATATATGTCATGCTGCAACGGAAATGAAGGACACGCCATTTCTTTAAATAAAATTAACTGCTGCTATATGTAAGCAAACAACATTTTGCTTGCCAAGTCTTCTGTTCTCTTTCATTGCAAGTTTAATTATTTTAATATCTATTGCAAAATTTTGTACATAAAATGAAATAACACTTTTTAATATACAACGCTTTTATAAATGGACTAAAAATTATAAAATAAAATAATGTAAAGCAAACCGACATTTAAATATATGCATACATACATATACATACATACCTAACCAATTATGCATGTACGCTGAATTCGCCGACAAGCTTTTTTAAAAACGAAGTAAATTAGTACAAATTGTTAATAATTTTCATTAGAGTTTGAATAACTCCTTTCACTAAATGGCTTTTAGTAACTTTAACGAGACCTTAACTTATTTTATTTTATTCCTTTTAGTGCAGTTTTGACAAAATTTTCTTGCTAAAAAGTCTTTTGTTACACTACTTTATTTTATTCCTTTGATTGTACATGTTAAATAAAAGCTTGTTTTTAAAAAATATTTTTTTTACATTATTTTATTTTCTAATCTTAACATATTTGCATGACTCATACGCCGTGTCGCACATTTATTACTTTTCGCTATCTTTTGAAATCAATAAGAATTTCACGACATTTGTGCCGATTTTCGGATGTCGTTCATTACTTTGATATCAATTTCTTAATAAAACTATATTTTTCCGATTTTTTCTTTCATTTACCTTGGCTGGTAGAGCGATTTGCACTTATCAATGATCGGATGATTTGTGGTGCCAATAATTTCAGTCTTTGGACGTGACGCTGAGCGATAATTTCTGAAAGAGAAAGAGTAAAATTATTATTAATTGAAAGCATGAAAACATTGCCTTAGCTATTTATTTACTTATGTAAGCTTATATTTGTATATATTTTGCATTTTTTCAGGAAATTTCAGTTATCAGTCGGGAAATAAAAATATTCATATGTAAAATAAATTTTTTTATGAACCATATCCAACCCTTTATTTATTTTATACAACGCACAATTAGCACATATGTATGTATATAAATACGTATTATTAATTATATCTTTTGTGCTTTGCTTTCATTGACTTTTCTCTTCGCAAGTGAACTGCACTCCATTTACATAGTAGTGAGTCACCAGCCATTCAGGCCTGCCGTCTAAGAAGGCCGGCCATAGGCATCACTGAAAAGAAAAGCAACACTTGACAGCTACTGGACTTCATATTGTATATCATTTCATTTATAAAGTACATATGTATATGTGTACATGTACCCGTGAATTCGACTAACTTTAAAGACATTTTCAATACAGTATTTTACCTTTAATTATTACTGGTTCAGGATTACTTTATTTGCATTTTACTGAACTACTTTTTTATGGTAATATTGCTGGGAAAATTTTTTATGTAAAAATTTGTATACTCTCGACTGAAACAAAAAAAATTCAAATTAAAGATATTTCGACTAATTTTGGTTAACCAACGATTCTTTTTGGATTTTGTCCGCCAAATAAGAATATGAAAGGTCATAAATATATGTATTTTGTGCTAGTTTCAAGGACTCACAAACCCAATAACACTAGTTTACAAGAAGTCTGATCTGTGGCACTGAACATTACTTCTTATGTAAAACTTTCCGCTGAATCCGAATATGAGCTCAAACTGTAAGAAAGTATGTATAGGCAAATCTTAAAAACCAAAAAAAATATATAAAAACAAACCAAATTGATGGCATTTTTTTGCTGATGATGTTAAGAAGTTTTCGACAATTTTTTATATGTATGGAAGAGAATGAGCAGCACCTTTACCAAAAAAAAAAAAAAGCCAAAAATTAACGGCAAGTCCTAGCTATTTCAAATTTGCACTACATTACAAAAATTTGTTCTGATTAAAAAGTTTGAAATTTTTATTGAAACTGCGAAATTTTCATAATTTCTGCACAAAGTCAAAAACTTGCATTTATATGGGCTCTTGAAGTGAAACTTCTTTAGCGGCGGTTGGTTGGTTGGGAGTAAATTGTTAAATTCAACAAAAATTGCACACGGATTTAATTTAACAAAAAAACTTAAAGAATAACACTTAGAAAAATACCAATACAAGAATGGAAGTAAAGGTGAGTGCACACAATGATAAAGAAAAGGATACAAGCAAAGGTAAAAATAAAAACAAACACAAAAATAAAGATGCGTAAAGATAAAGGCAAAAAAAAGGAAGACCAAGGTAAATTTAAAACTTATAAGAGCAAAGGTAAAGGGGAATATGTGGATGAAGAAAATTATAAACATAAAAGTAAAAACATGGATAAATATAAAGAAAAAGATGAAGATAAAGATGAAGAAAGTAAAGATGAAGAAAGTAAAGATGAAGAAAGTAAAGTTGAAGATAGAGGAAGAACGATTAAAATAAAGGTAATTATATAGAAAAGGATATAGATAGAGACACAGAGACTCAATCTAGGAACTATTTTGGGATTTTAGAGATTCTCTGGACTTATCGATATTTGGATCGGTTTTGCTATCGATATTTTTATGAATTTGGTTATCGATATTTTTTATCATTTGTTATCGATGTTTTTATCCATTTTGTTACCGATATTTTTATCGATTTCCTAATCGATTTTACTACCACCATTATTGTCGATTTTGCTATCGAAATTTTTATCGAATTTGTCATCGATTTTGTTATCGATTTTGCGATGAATTATTTGTAGATTTTGTTATCGATCTTGTCATTGATTATTTATCGATATTGTTGTCGTTTATTTATCGATATTATTATCGATTTTTTAACGAATATTTATCGGTTTTGTTATCGATATTTTTATGGATTTACTAATCGATTTTTGTTATCGATTATTTATAGATTTTGTTATCGATATTTTTATCGTTTTTGTTATCGATATTTTGTTGGATGTTACTATCGATTTTTTTATCGATAGAGTATAAAGGTAAACAAGATAAAGGAAAACAGTATAACATAAATGTAATTAGAACGAACAGGGGTAGAGAGGTAGGGATCTACATAGATCGAAAAAAGACAAGAAATATAACCTTAAGCAAAAGCAGATCTATGTATGTATGTGTACTGCTTATGAGACATAGATATGTAACGTAAGTTTAGCTTCTCCAGTGTGGCTTAGCTGCACTTAGTTTTTTTATGTAATGGGCTATACTTTCATAAAAACATAAGCATTAACAAACAAAAGAAGAAAAGCACAAACCTGCTAAAATTCCAATTTATACTTTCGTCAATGTATGGAATTATACTTTAAATGCTTAGTATCGGTCCCCCTCTCTACATTGTATGTATGTACATAAATGTTATTTTAAATTTTTTTTTTCAATGATTTCCAATGATCCGAATCAGTTATTTTACGCTTTGTAATTTAGCGATAAGCTTCAAGCAGGCATTGCCTTTCTTTCGTCTATTTTGCTTATTCGCAACTAGTCAGTGTAAGTGCGGTATATACATAATATGTAAGTGTTAATCAAAGTGCTCCTGAACTACATTCGTCTGTAGTATTGATATGTACATAAATGCATATATGTGCATATGTATGTATATACATACATATATATAAAAAAAGTATTTTAAATGTATGAAATCCTATATAAATTTACACAGATCAGCTGGGCAAATATGATCGTCAGACGTACATACTTGCATATATAAATACAAGTGCACCCGAGTTAGCTTCTCACTGAGTCATTCAAGAGCTCATTATCAGTAAAATTCTATAAAACGACTAATAAATAGCAAAGAAAGTGTTATATCTTTTCTTCGTGCTTTTATTATTTGTCATGTACAAAACTTACGACTATGTATGAAAAAAGTGAAGCTTGATAACAAGTAAACGTCTGTATAAATAGCAAACACAATGCAGTACCAGCGGCAAACCCGAGTTCGAGTACACACACACCCAGCCTTGTCCATGGCGTATGAGTGATTAGTTAAGGCATGAAAACAAGCACATCACGCAAAGTACAGTTGGAGTTAATTTCGCGGGTATTTCGCTCAAATTTATAAGGATATAGCTTAGTTAAGGTTACCTTAGCTCATTAACTCATCTAACGTTGAAAGTAGGCTGCCATGGGCCCGTCTCTTACATTTTTCCTTGTCCGATTCGTCGTTCTAATGAAGATGCTACCTATCTTTAGATATCCTCCGCTACTCTACGCTCAATTGGCGGCATTTGCCTGACAATTTCCGGATTGAGTCAAGTTTTTCAGCTAGATTCTAGATGAGAAACTGTTGTATAAGTCAACGGGCCATCTTAATTGGACTCAGTGGAGCACCCCGACTCAGGCGTAAAGGCCATGCCTAACGCAGCAAGCCCACGTTGCTATATTCGAATTAGTGAGTTCTTTCTCTACGCATGTTTCCCTCGAGATGAGTGGACGGGAAGTATAAGTTGGACGGAGGCATCAGTGAGCATCTATGTGGATAAGTCGAAGCTTGTCGGAAGGGATGGTTAAAAGGTGTTATTTTTTTGCAGGAATCTCTATATTATCTTATAATTTAGGCACCTAGACCACTATAGTATTTTCCGCCGCACAGTGGTAGCTAGCGGGGGGGTGAAATAACACAAACGGCAATAACGCCAATTTGTTTTATTTCCCAATTGAATGTGAAATAACACAAATTTGCTTTATTTCATTTCTCGTTGAGCAATAAGACCAACTTTTATACTTAACAATTTGAGTAATAAAGCAAACTAGTGCACGTATGTACGTAGTGACCCAGTTATACAATTTTGAAAGTGCTCGGCGTAGCGGCGGTCCGCGTTCGCGCGCCGCCCCGCGCCACCCCGCGCCGCGTTCGACGTCACGCTCGCGTCCCCCGCCCCTCCCCTCCTTTCGCTATTATGTACTGGTGGCATTATAACCGTTTAGAAAAAGGAAAAATGATAAAATAACACTAGTTCACTTCTGAAACTGCTTTTTAATGTCCAAGTAATGGGAATTATTGTGTATGGTGTTATTGCATGCTG